TTGCATGGCCTCATTTCCATTAAGTAGGCAAATGCCGAGGCTAGGACTGAGAAATGTGAGAGCTCAGGCTGCTGGTGGTGGTGATAACAAAGGTAACTCTGTGGAAGTTCATCGAGTTAACAAAGATGATCAAGGAACTGCTGTAGAAAGAAAGCCTCGCAGAAGTTCTATCGAGGTTTCACCATTTGGTTTATTGGACCCATGGTCACCTATGAGAAGCATGCGTCAGATGCTAGACACAATGGACAGAATTTTCGAAGATGCGATGACGATTCCTGGAAGAAACATTGGAGGAGGTGAGATACGTGTCCCTTGGGATATCAAAGATGAAGAACATGAAATCAAAATGCGATTTGATATGCCTGGTGTTTCTAAGGAAGAAGTTAAGGTATCAGTGGAAGACGATGTTCTTGTCATAAAAAGTGAGAATAAAGAGGAAAATGGTGGAGAAGATTCATGGTCAAGAAAGAGTTATAGTTGTTATGATACAAGGCTCAAGCTTCCGGATAACTGTGAGAAAGAAAAGGTTAAGGCTGAGTTGAAAGATGGTGTGCTTTATATTAGTATTCCTAAGACTAAAACTGAACGCAAGGTTATCGATGTTCAAATTCAGTGATAGGCTAAGACTTTAAAAATGGCATGCTTTTTATAGTATCCTCTCTGTGGAGGAGCTGATGTGTTTTTTTTGTCCCTTTTTTATCTATAAAAATGTTTTGTCGAAATGTATAGAATAAATAAGATCCGTTACTATTTTATAAATATTTCCAAATGTCTAATTTATATATTTTGTATGCATTTCGTTCTGCTGGAATAACAATTAGTTTAGTAAAATTGGTAATGGTCAAAACTTATTTGAATCTAATGATTTGATTTATCTTAAGTTAAGTATTAGCTTAATCTTTTTTCTTATTCTATTTAATATTATCATTATGTTAAAATTATTATCAATTTGCTTATCTAATTTTCTAAGATTGCTTAACTAATTTGTTAAATTGGTTAGTTCGTAGTTAGTATGTTATAACTATATATACTTTCAACAAATCAACGAAACAGTTCCTTTCATACATCATGATTCATCTTGCTTTCTTCATCTTTATGTTTTTATCTTTTTTTTTTTTTCATTGGAGATCTTCATCATTAACATGATATTAGAGATTAACCAATTTTGGTAGGCATTGTTATCTCCTTGAATCAAATTTTTATCTCGTTATTCTTTCTTTGGCGTCACATATTTACTCTTCTCCTACCTTCAATGGCATATTAGAGCTTCACTAATTTCTCTACCAACTTACATTCAAATGAGAACCCTGATCTTGTCCTCGTTTCACCACCACTATCATACTTTGGTACGTTCCATGTAGATTACGCGCTGATATCTAAAAACAAAAATAAGTTTATTGATGAAATCTTAACAAAATCTTCCATCACTGATAATCTTTATGCGTTTTCACTGATAATCTTTATGCGTTTTGGATTCGTTGCAATACCATGGTTTTTGCATGGATTCAACAATTTTAGAATCTATTGCAAAATCAGGGCTTTTGATTGATAATGCAGACTCGACTTTCTCACAGTGATATATTTTGTATTTTAGATATTCAAAAAGATCTCTACAAATTTCGTCAAGGTACTCTCAAGGTGTCCAATTATTTTACTCAATTGAAATTTATGTGGGACGAATTAGAGAATGATTGACCACTCTTTTCTTGGTCATGTTCGATTCCTTTCTCATGTGGTGCTATATCATATGTTCAATAATATCGTGAACAAGGTTATGTGATTCGTTTCTTAAAGGGTTGAATGAGAGGTTTACTCCCTCAAAATCATAAATTATGATGATCAATCCATTACCTGATATATACAAGGCATTTTCTCTTCTTATTCAACAAGAAAAGAGAGATGGATTGTACTATCTTTGCCTAGATTCCTAGTATTAGCAATTCTGAAGATATTGCAGCTTTACATGTGCAAGCTTATCTAAACAATCATGGTGGTAAACATGGTGTCAACAATTTTAGAGGAAAATTTCAGGCATCCAATGGATCTAAGGGTCACAATCATGTTTGTACACATTATGGTAGGACAAATCATACTATTGAAACTTGTTTCATCAAACATGGCTTTTCTCCCGTTTTCAAGAGCAAAAGCAAAGTCCAACCTGCTGGCATTCCTTCATCATCAACTACTATAGTCAATTATGCACCAAAAATTCTATCAACATGTTCCAATCCAGCATCCTTTGGCTTTACTCAAGACCAATACAACAGTATTCTAGAACTGCTTCAATAGTCCAAGCCCAAGGCTAACTCAGTTTCTACCTCAATTTTTTTTTTTAAATTTACACTCTTCATCTGTAAATGGTAAGCCATCTAATATTTGGATCTTCAATACTGGTGCTACTGACCATATCTCTCACAACCTTTCATTTTTTTTATCACAAAAACATTGTTCCTATTTTTGTTAGTCTACCTGAATAGTTCTCAAGTCCTTGCTCCCATTTCTGGTATTGTTGTGATTTCATCATGTTTAACTCAATATAATGTGCTATATATACTCAGTTTTCATGTTAATCTCATTTCTATTGTAAAGCTTGTAACTAGCAATAATTGTTTAGTGCAATTCAATGTTGATTCTTGTCATAATTTTCAAATTCATTCCAAAGAAATGATTGGTATAGATAAATTGCAAAGTGGCATGTATGTTCTTGATTCTACAGGACATCACTCTTCTCATATCTCTATTGCAAACACTCTTTATAATATCTGGCATTTAAGACTAGGTCAATTATCTGACATATGCTTAAAAACTATTTCAAAATCTTTCCCTTTTATTTCAGTAAGAATAAAAATGTAACTTGTGACTCATATCACTTTTCAAAATAAAGATAACTTCATTTCCCTAATAGCACAACTCAATCTTCTTCTCTTTTTGATGTTTTACATGATGACTTATGGGACATTTTTCTACTATGTCTACTTTAGTTCATAAGTACTTTCTAACCTTAGTAGATGATTATATAAGATATAATAGGGTTGTTTTTCTCAAAACTAAAGACCAAGTCAAATCGAGCATTATTCAGTTCATATCTTAGAGCATCTCCAACCGTGAACTCATTTTTGGGTTCTTTGTGGGACCTATTAAGTCACGTCAGCTTGAAGCAACTTAACTAATTTTTCACTCCAATGGTGCAACTCTGAAGAATTCATATTGGGTCCCACAACTTTACTTTATATATTAATATTTTATTCATATTAAATTTTATATCAGTTAAAATAATAATTTAAATTTTAGTGTTTTAAATTAAATTTGATATAAAATAAAAAAAAAATTAAACTTATAATTTAAAATGATAATTAAAATTAATCTAAAATACATGATATATAATTAAAAACAATAAAAATAAATAACATCACATAATTAATCAAACTTAAATTTCATCATCTTCATGTCCAAAACGTTCCCAAATATGTTCGACTAGATCTCCTTGAAGTTTACGATGAACTTGTTTTTCTTGAATACTTGCTCTTCTTTGTAGTCTTGTTGCAAGATTCGGATGAGGACCGCTAAATGTTTCAGTTGTTAATGATATCCACATTATCATAAGAGTAATCAAAATTACCTCCATATGTATGTCGTTCGTCTTCCACAATCATGTTGTGCAATATGATGCAGGCATATATGGTATGCTTGAGAGTGTCCATGTGCCAGGCACGTGCTAGGCCACATATAATTGCAAATCGAGATTGAAGCACTCCAAATGCTCGCTCCATATCTTTTCTAGCCGATTCTTGATGTTGAGCAAATAATTTTTTCTTTTCTCCCTGTGGCATTGAAATAGTATTGACAAATGTAGCCCACTTGGGATATATACCATCTGCTAAATAATACCCCATGTTATATGGTGTCCCATTGATTGTATATTGCACATTTGGAGCACGTCCTTCCAAAATATCGTTAAACACGTTGGATTGATTTAGCACATTAATGTCATTGTTTGAACCTGCAATACCAAAAAAAGCATGCCAAATCCATAAGTCTTGTGATGCCACTGCTTCAAGCATGATTGTGGGCTTACCATGATCACCTCGACAAAATTGTCCTTTCCATGCAACGGGACAATTTTTCCATACCCAATGCATACAATCGATGGAACCCAATATACCTGGAAAGCCACGTGACTCTCCCATTTGTAAAAGATGTTCAACATCAGTGTTGTTAGGCTTTCTCAAATACTCAGCGCCAAATAACATTGACACCCTTAACAAATATTTCTAAGCACTCAATTGAAGTGCTTTCACCGATTCGAACATATTCGTCTACAAGGTCAGCAGGAGACCCATACGCCAACATACGAATAGCAGATGTACATTTCTGCAATGGTGAAAGACCCATTTTACCTGTTGCGTCGACCCTCATTTGGAAATATTCATCATGATTTCCAAGGGCATCTACAATTCGAAGAAATACATGCCTATGCATTCTGAACCTTCTTCGGAATTGAACATCTGTGTATACTGGGTTTTCCGAGAAGTAGTCATTGAATAATCGATTGTGCCCTTCTTCACGACCTCGATCTACCGTTGTTCTTCTCTTTGGCCTAGAGGAAATTCCAGATCGACGTTCATTTTGAAGTTGTTGTTCTTCATCACTGTCGTCCATAAATTCTTCTTCAACCAACTCCCAAAATTCTTGATCGTAAGTATCTGAATTGTCTGAATCCATTTAGTGAGTAAAGAGAATAAGATGAGAATGAGAGAACAATGACATAAGTGGTAGTATATGTAATGGTTAGTTTGAATAACGACTAGTTTGAATAACGACGAGTTTGAATAACGACTAGTTTGAATAACGGCTAGTTTAAATTAAAGTGGTAGTTTGAATAACGGATAATGACCATTTTACATAGGTGTTGATAAATTAAAGTGGTACTAATGACCATTTTACATAGGTGTTGATAAATTAAAGTGGTACTAATGACCATTTTACATAAGTGATACTAACTACATTCCATATTTTTTTTCCATCTTATTACAATATTTTTCATGAACATCTCGTTGACTATCATTCATAGTAGAAGTGTCTTTCATCATCATTTGCACTACCCTTAATTCTAGCTCGTCCTCCTTAGCTTGCGCAAGTCTGTCCATTGCTATTGCTCTTTTATTCTTTGCATCTTGCGTTGCATTTGGAATTTCGGATGCCTTACCCTTCCTTTTTGCTGCTTTTTGTCCCATTGGACGCTCCATTGGTGATGATGAGTTAAACTCATAACTTGAAGTTGTATCTGGGTTCTCCGATGATGCCCCACTATCATAAGTCTTTGTTATTTTTGCAGAACTTCCAATCGATTCTTCGACGATGCGCCATTTAACTTCATCTTTTAACAATCACCATGCATACTCAAGATTGAATGTTGTACCTTGATCCTGAGCAAAAATAGCATGTGAATCTGCCATGACATCGGTCTCGAATGTCCCATTTTTCTTTCCTTTAAGAGCTATTTTGTAACACCCAACAAATTTTTGAACCATGCCATTTATTCTATGCCGTCGACATTTTAACTGTCCCCCTAACTTTTCCCGCAATTGCCCACGATATTGGTTATAACTAGCAGCAATTCTTAACCAAAAACTCTCAGCCTTTTGATCAACTCCCACAATTGGATCCTTTGAAACATTGAGCCATGATTGGATAAGTGGTATATCCTCTTCCCTTGTAAATTGCTCTCGAGATCTTTTTTAACGACAACCCTTTCTTCTTTTTCAGTACCAACTTGAGTAGAAAATGGTGGGACTTGAGTAGAAAATGGTGGAACTTGAGTAGAGAATTCCATACTATTAGAATTCATTTGAGGTATAGGATACATATTTGGATTGTTTGGTGACGGAAGAAATATGGCGGGGTTTGTTGGCACAAGTGGAATTTGAGAATTTTGAGGATTAGGATTTTGAGAATTTTGCATGTAATTGAAAAAAGCTTGTTGATAATGAAAATGATTAGGATCCATTTGGCCAAAACAATTGTAATTTGAAGTAAAAAGATGAAATTTTGAGTTAAATATTTTGTAAAAAAAATGCTAATGAGAAAAAATTGTTGAAAAAAAATTAAAAGTATAGGAATAAAATGATGAAATTGTGAGAGAGAAATTTCAAATTGAAGAGAAAATAAAAGTGAGAGAAATTTGTGTTGGTAAATTTTTGGAAATCAAAATTATATTTATAATAAAAAATAAGTTTAAAAAAATAAAATAAAAAAAATAAGTAGCCGTTTCAACGGCTAGTTTTATTATATTTATTATATTTCAATATATTATTTAATGCAAAGTAGCCGTTAGCAAATGTGTAGAACGGTTGAAATGGTAAGCAACATTGCGCCACTTGAAAATCATTTTAGAAATATTAAATGCATATATAATTAGCCAGCTTGATGTCGCTACTGCGAAAAAACGAGGCCGGCAAAACAGAAGAGTCGCCACCTTTCGTTATTTATCCCTCAGAACGGGAAAGGAAACGATCGGAAAAACCTGACGCAAAGGTATAAGACAAGGTATTAGCACCCCTCACGTCCATCGTACTCGATGGGATCCACGCTTGTTATGTTTATCTGACGGGTTTGTTACATTTATCTACGCTAGAGGTCTGGTCTGAAAAGAAAAGAAAATGACTCGGCAAAGCGTCGCACTTTATGCCTACGTATTCCCGTCTGGAACGAGAAATCAGAGTCAACGTAGCTCGCCTAACTACGGGGAAAGGTTGCTCGCCAAGATATCGCATCTTGTGCCTACGTACTTTCACACGGCGTGAAAGATCATAGAAAACGTAGTTCGGGACACGAGAGACACATGTTTGTCTTTTTATCCGAGTAAGGTTAACAGACGGTTCCAGCAGTTGGTGTATGCAGCTCGACCATTGGAGACTTAGGCGTTAGCGTTTGCGGTAGAACCGGGAGTTAACAGAACTCTCCTTCTAAAAAGGGTTTCCAAGGGATTAAAGGTCCAAGAAGACAAAAAAGAGTTTGATCTTTATTTTGTGTTTTTATTTTGTGTTTTTTAGAGAAGTGTCTTTTATGGATGTTTGCAACTGATATCGCACTAGAGACTATGACCTGAGAGTGAATGTGTCGCATGTCACCCAAAGGGTGCCATACTAAACATCCAGACTGTTGGAAAGAAACTCTCCAACAATCCTTTCTCAAGTAGCTTAAGGCTCGTAGCGTACGAAGTCAATTAACCTTTATTACTGTATTTTGATTTTGTTTGCAGATGAGAAGAGAAACGACGCACTAAAGGGGAACCGATCCAATCCTAAAGTTGTCATGCAAAATGGACCTACAGTTGAGGTTAAGGGGGAACTTCCTAATGTTATCATGCATGGTTAGAACCCTAATGTCTGTCATAACTTCTCTTGAACAAGAGAAGTCAGAGTTCCTAGGGGAACATGGCAGAGGAAAACAAACAGTAAAAGAAATAACTGTACAGAAACAATTGAAAAGAAATTACTGTAAAAATGCATGCAATGCAAGTGAGGGAGGAAATATGTGTGGGGCAAGAGCCTCCAAAAGCTCATCTCAACCTCAAGCCAGATATGAACAAGTGCAAAGATAATGGAATACAGAAAAAGCAACAAAAGTAAGTCACACAAAGCCAATCAATAAAATCCAAGCAGAGGGAGCCAGACTCAACCTCTAAATGCAGACAAGCAAAGGGAGCTACTCTCAACCTTTAGGATGCTCTTAAGCCTATATCACTATATGAGAAACCTAGTCTAAATGCAACATACCAAATAGTCACACCAGCAAAGCAGAGCAGTCAGAAAATACAGCAGACAAACTAGCAGACAAACAGCTCAACAGCAAAGCAGATAAACAGCAAACAATCAAATAGCTTCAAGCAAACTCCATGTCCTAGCCATCTTCAAGAGAAGTCTTCATCTACATGCCTCAACAAGCTCCAACAAAAGGGAAGAGAATAAACATCAAGAATATTGGATTGATGATGGGAAGCAGGTGGGAAACCAAAGGAATCCTACCAGACACTCAACCAGTCATCTGAGAAAGACATCCTCAAAGGTTCTACCTATTGTAAAATGCCACACATCCTTCCAATGGAAATATGAGGCTTTCACATAGGTACCTTGAATCATAGGATGAGAATGGAAAGCAATCAAAGCAATCCATGTTTGAGGAAGAAAGAAAACTACTTATAAGCTCGTTCCTAAACCCTAATTCCTATAAGCTACAAGAAAGCTTCTAAAGGAAGGCCTAAACACCAAATCAAGCATTATAATCAATAAAACAAAAGCTCATACATTTATAAAGCAACAATCAAAAGGAATGAAAAGTTACCTCATGCTAAAAGTCATTAATGAAGTCAATCAAAGGGGAAGACTATGTTAGAAGCATGTTAAGACTAGCCTAAGTATTAATTCAATCTAAAATACTAAAACTAATCCTAAAATACTATAAAATTTTTTAAGGGAACCTATAGAGGTTAGGCATCTATGGTAGAAAGGCCAGGGGCCAAACCTAATGAGAAAGTCCCTAAACAAATCCTAGATCACAAGGTGTCACAAAAGAAGCCCAAAATGGAAGGTCTAATGATTTAATTCTAAAACAGCACCAAAAACCATTTAAAAATTACCACAAAAATTATGGAAGCACCTTAACACACACATAATCAACAGCCAATAGGATGGGGGAAAATACAAAAGGAAAGGGTTCAAATAGCAAGAACAATCCAAGGCAATTTTAAACAAGGCAATATGGATGAAGCACAAAGATGGTGCTCAAAACCTACACAAAATGTAGTATAAATTCCAGAAATAAATATGAGGAAATCCCTCAAGATGTATGTGATACCCCTGCAAAATATTAGACAAAAATATTTGGTTTTGATGCCTCAACAAAATTCCACAAGATTGAAGCACCAATATTACAATATTTTTCGGCCATAAAAATGTAAAAAATCAAAACTAAATGGAAAAAAATGATAAAATCAATCTTATTTTTTCTAAAATATCCTAACACATCCAAGATCACCTGTAAAAAAAATCAAGATTTTATGAACATTTTATATTTTTTTTTATGCAATTGAAGTAAACATGCATCAAAACAGAAAAACAAAGAAATGGAAATTAAGTGAAATTGCAAGGTGGTGCAAGTAGCAATTAATCCAAGGCAAATGACATTGGGCCAGGTGAGGGAGGGGTGCGAACATCAACTCGTGAGAAGCCCAACGAATTTCATTAATCAAAACTACGTAGTTTTGATAGCGCATACGTGGCGCGTCCGTGTGCGTTAGATTGATGGACTTGGTCTTCTTTCAAGCGCGAATCCGACGGCAATGCACTTATCTTCTCCAAATTGAATTTCACGGTTGAAAAACACAGCAGCAAGCAGTTCCGGCCGTGATCAATTCTGGCGAGCTTCCTCCATGCGTATCTCTTTCGTTTCTTGACGGTTTGCAACGATTTCTAGACCAAACTTGAAGGATTTTTCGCAAGGAACAAGAATATCATATTTATACTTGCTAAAACTCCACGAACAGAGAGATTCATCACCAACAAGAAAATGGATCCAAACTTATTTTGTCTCTAAACTCCCAAATTTTGATCCTAATTCCATCTAGAGTTCATGTACTACCTAACCACATGCATAAATTGATCTAGATCATCCTAAATCCAGAGGAAAATTGAAGTTTACATAACGGACTTGAAGCTTTAAATTGAAGCAGTTAGAGCTCGAATCCTCGTGCCAAAAGATGCAGAATCTCTCAATAAGTCTTGCAGAAGGTGCTAGGATCCTTGATTGATCTTGAAATGACCTTGAAATGAAAATTCGATTTTGGATCTTCTCTTGAAAATTTCCTCTGCACTCTCTGGTTTCAACTTCCAATCTTCACCAACCTTGATCAAAAATCGTTTCTGAACTTAAATAGAGTTGAATAGAAGGATCTAGAGGCCTAAATAAAGCCCAAATCAGAATATCCAAAATCCAATCTTTCTTCAAAAACTCAATAATGGTGATGCACGAATTTTCCTTGCTTGCACCTTCTAGAACCTTCAATCCACTTGCATATGACATGGTGAATGAGTTTGGATCAAGAGGAATCCTTGTTTGTGCTTTGTGAATGATTTTTAATATGTAGCTTATTCATGAAGTAACAAACTAAAGCACCATAAAATAGACCTCAAATGAAAAATATAATATTTCCAATGTGTTTAGAATGCCTTTTCTGATTAAAATGAGT